TTGGCTGCTCAAGCCAGGAATGCTTCCTTTTTTTCAGAGAAGGAAACACTTAACACATCCACATCGTTTGATCCTTCATCACCCTAAGGTCCCCCAATTTGAAAACAGCACGTTCAGCGTCACCGAAGCTTGAGCGCGCGTAGTCTCACAAGCACTGCCCCACTGCGGGGCGCTAGTTTTTTATGGTATTTACGCGGACGTTGCGAACCGATGCAAAATCATTCGAAATCAACGATGCTGGCATGAATTATACAATGCATTAGAGCATTTACAATTCAATTTCAGCATTATCATATGCAAAGTTACAAATCACTGTAAAAAGTCACAAACAAAATTTTAGCTGTCAGGGGTCCTTTGAACAGGACACACTTATCCACTTTTCCAGCCCTAGATTTTACGTTCCGATCCAATCCAAGATGTACGGAGATCGTTCTATATTCGTTTTTACAGATATAACAGTGACTTCGTTCGTTCTTTGCCTAACAGATGACATAATGACAGCACCGCCTGTTTCGATCACTGTTTTCTTATCTGACCATCGGAAATTTACGTATGAGCCTCGACCAATCCCCTGCAGTGACATAAGACCATTCCATCCCACAACACGTACAAGATCGTGCCCCGGGGGCTATTTTCTAAACGCTCTGTGACCGAACAGAACGCAACATCATAAGAGGGTGAGAGGAAGCAAACAGCTAATAGACAAGCTGAGAGAATTAGAAGAAATATAGAATGAAGAAGTACAGAATTGTTATGTCTGCATAAATATTGGCAAGCAAGCTGAGATAATTCGAGGAAATATAGAACGAAGAAATATAGAATGATTATATGTGAAGATCAACATTAGCAGGCATTATTTTGCATAGCTTTAAATTCAAAGGGCCACTCACCAGGCCCCATACCGTATTTTAGTTAGACAGTGGAAGTTGTTGGGTGTCCGATGAGGAACATTTTGCCACAAAAATTTTTCGAATTGGTTCATCAAGAGCCGAGAAAACAGGTTTTTTGAAGCGGTGCGAAACGAGGATGAGAGGAGGCGAGCTTGAAACCCTTGCCGCTCCTCCGCGTAGCATTTGCAAGCCAAAGCTCTTTCCCACCCTTTCCGGCATCCGACCAAGAGGTGACGTGCGCATGACGTGCCCAAACAAGTCCATTCCCCGAGCACGCCAGCAGCGTTGCTTTGTTGACCAGCATCATTTTGTAGTCTTCTGCCTGTTTCTGCGGGATGGTTTGGAAACGCTGGCTTAGACGCGGTAGAGTAGATGAACACAATGAGTGCGCGAACGCGTAGGAGCGTTCCACGACGGTTGTCTGCTCAATGTGCTGACCACGGGGACACGAACGCATGCGAAATGCTGGCACATCAGCGCATCTCGTAGCATTTCACGGGAAAAAATGAAAGAAAAACCCGCACAATTTTTTATTGCATCTCATTATTTATTTCAAGTTTTATTAATCTCTTAAAGCAACAAATACATAAACTACGCATGTTGTGTTAAATAATTTTTGCCATGTCACGTGGTATACTGCTGACGTCAGAGCAGAGTCGTCTACGTAGATGACCAACGTCACTGCATTGCCGTGTACGTAAGGCCATTCATACGTCCACGTCATGCCCTCATTCTCTAGGCGTGCGCTGGCAGAGGGGAAGGGGAGCAGCGTTCATCTTGAATTTTGACCCATTTCGCGGCGCGTAGCGTTGCAAATTTTGGCAGACGTGATCATGAACGCCTCGTCTACGCGTTGCGCTTGTCAGCTCAAAATAGTCAAACCTGGTGAGTGGCACTTTAAGAGAGTAATGACTTTAACAATTCGTGTGTTAATGTGTGCTAGGTGGTCTCGCAATTCGAAGAGTCGTTAAGTAGAGGAAAAATAATTGATAATTGTGATTGATATGTGGGGTTTAACATCACAAAACCACCATGTGATTATGAGAGACACCGTAGTGGAGGGCTCCGGAAATTTCGACCACCTGGGGTTCATTAACGTGCACCCAAATCTGAGCACACAGGCCTACAGCATTTTTGCCTCTAATGAAAATGCAGCCACTGCAGCCAGGATTCGATCCTACGGGTCAGCAGACGAGCATCTTAGCCACGAGACCACCGTGGCGGGGCAAGTAGTGAAAAAATAGGTGGCAGGAAAAATTAGGACATTCTGCCGTAAAGAGCAGGAAACTAGGCTATAAATTTGCTTTTTTTTTTCTCTCTCTATAATAAGATAGATTTCATCTATCTCAGACAAAACATTAGGCCAACTCTATTTTTTTTTCTTCAGGCCTGGTAACATTTGTCACCGCCCTTTTAAAAGGGGAACGCTCACAGCATCTACCGAGCATACAGTGGTGGACGCTGGTTGCGATTTTCCCGAACTATCGGCTCAGGATCAGAGTAAGCCAGACGCAAAACAGGCTAATTTGATTCTTCGAGCCTCACATTCACACTTTGGTTCATTGTCTGGAGACTGTGCAAGGCTATAAAATGGGACGGTGCAGCAGTGCCTCCATCTGTTTTGTGCCCGTTCTTTGCCAAAATGATTAACAGTGCCACCATTTCTGATTGCTACTCCCAGATCTGACCGTGAGGTAAGCTTCTACCAATATGTAGTGGCTCCATCTTGTGACCTACAAAATAACTCCTCGGTCAACATGCAAGTACAGGCTTTTCTATGACCGCAAAGAATTCTGAACTGTGCAGCTTGCAGATAGGTCATACATGTGATTACGTGAAACCAAATCCAAATGGGACACTGAAGCCCCATGTGCCATAAAGTTTTCTAAAATTAACTGGAGGGGACTGAGGCGCTGCGATCGTTCAGCGACCATAGGAATGATAGGTAGTACGGATTTTCCTAGTCTCTGTACCTGCGCGCGGAAAATCGCACTTGTGGCTTCGTTTATTGCTGTGTTTCGGTTTCATTTCGAAGAAAAGAATGAACCCTTTTGATCTTTGTGACCTGATTTGAAATGGTAAGCCTAAAATAATAAGGTGATAAAGTGCACCCGCTGAACATTTGTTCATTTTTGTTTCGTGAGAAAACAGCTCCAAGCCACACGAACACACATGGAGCCAGAGGTACGAAGATTAGACAAATCTGTGTACTATCATTCCCATACTCGCTAAAGCACCGTGCATTGCAGCTCCCATAGACACTAGCACCAGAGTTTCCTCTAGTGTATATTTACGAAACTCTATGCCATGTGCCCCTATTGATAAACTTGGGAAGGCCACACAAGACGTGTCATGTAGAAGACAGCATAACAGTCCAACAATCAATGATGAAGGGGACTTTCAAGAAAATGTGACTTTCTATGTAACTTCTTCCTGGGTGAGTTGGCTGGTTCTTGGGCACTAAACATATCATAGCAGTGCAAAGCTCAAAAATGAAGAAAGACAGTACGACTACACTACAGACACATCTGTTAACTTAAAAAGACTGCCTACTGGCCACCGTTTAAGTGGGGACCTGCTCCCAAAACCGATAAAATTATTTTTCTCGCTCTCTCTCCCTCTCATATGTGATTTTACTTTTGTTAATTAGTTTTGATGCCTCTCGTGATGCCTGCTACCAGCTGATAATTTGGGGGGGAGGGGGAGTGTAAAGTGAGCAAATGGTAATAGGTTTAGGAGCACAGCTACAATGGCCTCTGCTTCCAGCAGCATTTCTACCTGCAAACAGTGACATGCTTTTCTCTATTATAATTCCAGCAACACCAGATGGTGCGAGAGCATTATAGTCATCTTCTGCAGAAAATACCATACTGAAGAAGGTGTGTATGTTAATCATTTTAGGCAGACGTCTTCTTGTACACACAGTACCTTTAAAGTATGTTCGTAAAAAAGTTCTCTAAGGGTTGAGACTCCCAAGAGTCTCAACCTCGCGGCTACATCGTGGGTGCGGCCTGCAGATGGTAACCCCCGACTCGTCATCTTCTTAGGACCAAATAAAGTTCTTTGTCCGAAGCAAGTCGCCCTCACTGTATAACTAGTGTATACATCTTGAAAGTGAGTCAGTGATGAGCACATCATCACCATTCGAGTTATGAACAAGGCACATGAAATAGGAACCAAAAATATTTCTTGTTACTCGTCATCTACAACTTGCTGCCACATCAATGAAAGCATTTAATGCACACATCTTGCGTACATTTAAGTCATTTATGATTCAGTGACTCGTTCCACTTTTTCTTCATTTCGTGTAAATAGATTTTGCTACAGCGTGCACTATTGCGCTTCTACAATGGATTCATGCTCATAACAGCAATCATGCAGACAAAATTACTGACCCCAATTTGACGAAGCCTCTTCACTGAGCTCTCACAAACACTATTTGAGTAACTAACGATGTGGTTGCAGCAGTCACATAACCATAACACCTTGTCAGGCACGTTTTCAACTGGCGAATGCTTCAAGTTTCAAATGATGAGACCTTGGAATGCGGCGTCAACGTGTTCTTCACTGCGCTCTGTCAACTCCTCTCGCGTTCCGCTAAACAAGCTCACACAGACTTTACCCAAAACTATTAGCACGCGTCAGTTCCACAGAATAAGGGCATCTTCCAGTGCTCGACTGGATGCAAGCTATCTTTCCACTTACGAAGCCATTCTTACCCATGAATGAAGCGGCATGTACCGATCAAACTGTGCGCCTCAGACTGCGACTCCACGGCCAGGGCTTGATCTACTAACCTGACGGGGCACTTTGCAATTAAGCACCAGTTTTATTACGAGGCGCACTACAGCGAACAGTATCAATCATGCGCCGGACGTTTGTTCCTAGGCGCTTCTTTCTCGAAAACTGTACACGGTAGTCTTACAAAACACTCTCAGTACTTGCGACAGAAAGTAGTGCTGAGTAATATTCACTAGGCCCTGTAATGGCTGTAGCGCGCTTCGATGATACTATCGATGTGAAAACGAGGCTCCAAAATATGCGAAAATGCGCGCCCGCCGAGGCTGCATTTGCGCGCACTGTGAGGCCACGCTAGCAAGGCGTACTGACCGAGTGGGACGCGTGAGAAGAATGCGTTCCCCGCTGTTGATGCCCACAAGTTGCTCCAGGCGACAATCACATCGCAGTCCCACTGCAACCGCGGGTCGATCGCAAAAAAGTCTTCCAAGAGCACCAACCGTACACAGGGTGGAACGACACGACGGGCGAACTAGACATCCGGGCACTGACTGACCTAAAAGGCTCAAAATAATGACAGTACCCAGCTCCGTGCGAATACACCGAGAGCGCGAAAGTTTTGTCATAAACTCCCGTTAGAGGCGCTGCTGTTCTTAGCTTGGTTGGAATCTAATTAGACTCTTTGAGCTAGAGCTTGCTAAGACGCGTAACAAGTCACCCCGGAAAAGAAGACACAAACCCAAAATTTGGTGGGACGAGGAAGCTAAGAGAGCCATAGCAAAACGTCAGGAAGCCTCTAGGGAACACAGACATGCTAAGCAGCGGGGTGAACCGACAGATGATGTTGAAAGAAAATGGGAAAACTTTCTAAGCTCTAGAAGGGCTGCATCCCTTCTGATCAATGAAAAGATTAGAAGAAAGGGAGCTCAGTGGCTGGCAGAAGTACACAAAAAAGATAGAAAGGCAGCTGCGAAATTTTGGAACCATCTAAACTCCCTAAGAAATGAGACGAGCCTAGAGCAGAGTTTTATAACTACAGCCCAAGGTGCCAGGCTAGAAGACGAAGCTATTGAATATATAAGAACAAGGGTGACAGAAAAATTTCAACAATGAAGTACTTTATGCACCACAATAGACAAGGACGAATCAAGTGGTGCAATGGCTCCATTTTCACAACGAGAGTGGGAAAGGGCTGAGAAAAGGGTTCCTAGTAGTACATCAACAGGCCCAGATGGCATTCCAATTAGGCTGATAAAGACATTAGGTCCAAAGTCTAAGCAGGCTTTGAGAGAGGATGTGAGCAAAATAATAATCGATGGTGAAGTTCCCGATGGATGGAAACTTAGCAGCATGAGCATGATCTATAAAGGAAAGGGGGACAAAGCTGACATAAACAACTACCGTCCTATAACAGTGACATCAGTGGTCTACAGGCTGGCGATGCAAATTATAAAGGAAAGACTGCAGGCATGGATAGAAGATGAGGGGGTGCTGGGGGAACTGCAGAATGGGTTTCGGAAACACAGGAGGTTGGAAGGCAACCTGTTCTCACTGACGCAGTGCATCGAAATAGCAGAAAAGGAACACAGGCCCCTGTGGCTAGCATTCTTGGATATCAAGGGAGCGTACGATAGCGTGGTTGTAGGGAATACTGGACACACTAGGCGTGGAACATGTAGTCACTAATCTTTTAAAGGGTATCTATAAAGGTAACAAGGTAATTATAAAGTGGGAAAAACAGGTATCCAAGCCTGCAGAGGTAAAACGGGGGCTTAGGCAGGGGTGCCCCCTGTCGCCCTTATTATTCATGATGTACCTACAAGGATTAGAGGCAAAATTAGAGAGAAGTGGAATGGGCTTCAACCTCTCTTTAGTCAAACAAGGAAAACTTATTGATCAGGCACTACCAGCATTAATGTACGCAGATGATATAGTGCTAATGGCCAACAACGAGGAAGATTTGCAGAGATTGATGGACATCTGCGGTAATGAGGGAGATAGGATAGATTTTAGATTCAGTAAGGAAAAATCAGCAGTCATGATTTTCAATGACAACGAAAGTAGTGAGCTTAGGCTACAGGAGGTCACGCTAGAGATAACAGATAAATACAAATATCTGGGCGTATGGATAAGCAATGGGACCGAGTACCTGAGGGAACACGAAATATACATGACGACTAAAGGTAACAGGAATGCAGCAGTAGCAGTGATGAAAAATAGGGCACTGTGGAATTACAATAGGTATGATGTTGTGAGAGGAATATGGAAAGGGGTCATGGTTCCTGGGCTGACGTTCGGCAATGCGGTCTTGTGCATGAGATCAGAAGTTCAAGCAAAATTAGAAATTAAGCAACGTGGAATAGGTAGGCTTGCTTTACGAGCTCACAGGAATACACCAAATCAGGGAGTACAAGGTGATATGGGATGGACATCACTTGAGGGCAGGGAAGCTAGCAGCAAGATAAAATTTGAGAAGCGATTGAGAGAAATGAAGGAGGAGCGTTGGGCTAGGAAGGTTTTCAGCTACTTGTACATGAAGAATGTCGATACAAAATGGAGGAAGTGAACCAGGAAGTTGACTGGTAAATACTTAGAAAACAGCAAGTGGCCAAACCAAAAAGAACTATCGGTTAAGAAGAAAGTGAAGGAAACGGAGACTGACATGTGGAAAATGGGCATGATTAAGAAGTCCGCACTAGAGATCTATCAAACTTTTAAGCAGAAAATTGCCAAGGAAAGGATCTATGATAATACTCGGGGTAGTTCTCTACTGTTTGAGGCAAGGACGGGAGGACTGCGAACCAAGACATATCGGGCCATATACGAAGGGGTAGACACAGTATGCAGTGCGTGTGGAGAGGAAGAAGAAACTGCCGAACACTTGATAATGTTCTGTAAAGGGCTTCACCCTATAGTTCCGGATGATGGCGCAGAGTTTTTCAAAGCACTGGGGTTTAGGGACCGGGAGGACAAAATAGACTTTGAGCAAGTAGATTTAACTAGAAGGAGGTTATCTGATTGGTGGCTAAAGTCAAGGCACGAGTGAAAATTAAACTCTTCACTGCAAAGTACGAATCCTCAAACTCACTTTTTAAGGGAAAAAAATAAATATAGTTTTGAGTTCATTAAGTATTACGGCTTTGTGGCGCTAGCCACCGCCCAATCTAAAGGGTACAGCCATATTCATCCATCCATCTATGGTGGCGCCCTCGAGACGCGCGCGACGGTGTGCAGGTCCTGCGGTGGCGAGCGGGAGACTATCGAGCACGTGCTTCTACGATGCTCGAAGTTGACTCCCCCTACGGTAGAGGGCACCACCCTGCCGCAAGCCCTCGGATTTCTTGATGGGGAGGGAAACCGCTGTGGCAAAAGTGTGCGCACCACGAAAGCTCGCCTCGAAGTGTGGTGTAGAGACACAAGACGGTCACCCACGGCGGACACACACGGCGCTGGAAGTGTGTGACTTGTGAACTCTGACGTGTGTGTTCTTTAACTCATGTTTTCTTTCGTGTGTGTTTTTTCTTTTTTTTACAATATGGTTAGGACACTTCATTGAGTCCGCCCGTTGCAAAGGGTACTTGGCCACATTATCTATCTATCTATCTATCTATCTATCTATCTATCTATCTATCTATCTATCTATCTATCTATCTATCTATCTATCTATCTATCTATCTATCTATCTATCTATCTATCTATCTATCTGGTGTCGGTTCACCCCGGAAAAGAAGACACAAACCCACGGAGGAAGGAAAAAGGTGACACAAACCCAAGAGTTGGTGGGATGAGGAAGTTAAGAGAGTCATAGCAAAACGTCAGGAAGCCTCTTAGCAAACCAAAAACTAGATTTATTTATTTTTTCTTTAAATAGTGAGGTGTAGTATTCGTACTTTGCAGTGAAATGTTTAATTTTCACTCGTGCCTTGACTTTAGCCACCAATCAGATAACCTCCTTCTTGTTAATTCTATCCGCTTAAAGTCTATTTTGCCCTCCCGGTCCCTAAACCCCAGTGCTTTGAAAAACTCTGCGCCATCATCCTGAACTATAGGGTGAAGCCCTTTACAGAACATTATCAAGTGTTCGGCAGTTTCTTCTTCCTCTCCACACGCACTGCATACTGTGTCTACCCCTTCGTATATGGCCCGATATGTCTTGGTTCGCAGTACTCCCGTCCTGGCCTCAAACAGTAGAGAACTACCCCGAGTATTATCATAGATCCTTTCCTTGGCAATTTCCTGCTTAAATGTTCGATAGATCTCTAGTGCGGACTTCTTAATCATGCCCATTCTCCACATGTCAGTCTCCGTTTCCTTCACTTTCTTCTTAACAGATAGTTCTTTTTGGTTTGGCCACCTGCTGTTTTCTAAGTATTTACCAGTCAATTTACTGGTTTGCTTCCTCCATTTTGTATCGATATTCTTCATGTACAAGTAGCTGAAAACCTTCCTAGCCCAACGCTCCTCCTTCATTTCTCTCAATCGCTTCTCAAATTTTATCTTGCTGCTAGCTTCCCTGCCCTGAAATGATGTCCATCCCATATCACCTTGTACTCCCTGATTTGGTGTCACTCCCGTGAGCTCCTAAAGCAAGCCTACCTATTCCACGTTGCTTAATTTCTAATCTTGCTTGAACTTCTGATCTCATGCACAAGACCGCATTGCTGAACGTCAGCCCAGGAACCATGACCCCTTTCCATATTCCTCTCACAACATCATACCTATTGTAATTCCACAGTGCCCTATTTTTCATCACTGCTGCATTCCTGTTACCTTTAGTCGTCACGTATATTTCGTGTTCCCTCAGGTACTCGGTCCCATTGCTTATCCATACGCCCAGATATTTGTATTTATCTGTTATCTCTAGCGTTACCTCCTGCATTCTAAGCTGACTACCTTCGTTGTCATTGAAAATCATGACTGCTGATTCTTCCTTACTGAATCTAATGTCTAACCTATCTCCCTCATTACCGCATATGTCCATCAATCTCTGCAAATCTTCCTTGTTGTTTGCCATTAGCACTATATCATCTTCGTACATCAATGCTGCTAGTGCCTGATCAATAAGTTTTCCTTGTTTGACTAAAGAGAGGTGGAAGCCCAGTCCACTTCTCTCTAATTTTGCCTCTAATTCTTGTAGGTACATCATGAATAATACGAGTGACAGGGGACACCCCTGCCTAAGCCCCCGTTTTACCTCTGCAGGCTTGGATACCTGTTTTTCCCACTTTATAACTACCTTGTTACCATTGTAGATACCCTTTAAAAGATTAGTGACTACATGTTCCACGCCTAGTGTGTCCAGTATTCCCCACAATTCCTCTTTAACCACGCTATAGTACGCTCCCTTGATATCCAAAAATGCTAGCCACAGGGGCCTGTGTTCCTTTTCTGCTATTTCGATGCACTGCGCCAGTGAGAACAGGTTGTCTTCCAACCTCCTGTGTTTCCGAAACCCATTCTGCAGTTCCCCCAGCACCCCGTCATCCTCTATCCATGCCTGCAGTTTTTCCTTTATAATCTGCATCGCCAGCCTGTAGACCACTGATGTCA